GGTGTGTCCAAAACAAACAAACAAGAGAACAATCCCTCAAAGCCTTTCAATACATCCCTTTTCTGACCCTACAACGTGAAGTTCAGCCAATTTTATTATATAGTGGTTTTTGTCCTGAAAGAAGTACTAGTTTTTGATGTGTTGGAGTTAGCACAAAAGAGTTTTGTGACAGCAGAGAGTGGTGGTGAGAAAACAGGGCAAAGGAAACCTTACAGACACTAGGAGATATTTGCCCAAACAAGGTTTTGCTTTTTCTGGAGGCTTCCAAAGCACAATAACAATGCATTGTGCCAGCTAATGCAAAGGATGACCAGAGCTATTATCTTTATAAAGCTCAGCTATTGAAAAATGAGTGAAGGATGTAATTACACTGATTGTTAGCTGCTCTCTAAATTATTATCTGTGACAATAAAATTATTAACAATTAAACTTTAAAAAGCCAGTTGACTAATTAGTTCAGGAGAACTATTCAAAACACTGTCCTTGAGGTCATTATAATTAAATTCCTAATAGCCTATATTTCAAACTCAAATTCTCGCTTAGCTTGCTCCACAGAAACTGGCAAATGTCAGGACCATCAATATTGTAGAGTAGACCAGAGTCCTCTTGTCCAAAAGCTGATGAAAGTATGTATTCATCTGAATATAGGCAGCTGAGGACAAAGAAAAATGAGTGCTTCGGAGGAACTACTGATGAGTTTGTTGGATCCAGAGATTAGGCACACATTCACACTAGCAAATTTCTGAGCCACAAGTCATCCCTAATGAGGTGTCAGTGATAGCAAACTGCGTAGTGCTTCAGGGGCTGCATCTCTTTACCACCTTGACATTCATTAAGTACACAGCACAGCAGGAAAGCAGCTACTCACTCCCTTTACCAACTTATCCCATAGTACAAACACATGCAAACTCACTTTACATTAGCTTTTCCATCACTGCTACCAATGGTTGGGGCAGGAGACAAAAGAGAAGATTTCTTCAAAATTCTGGCAGTGGACAAAACCAGAGGCTTCTCATTCCCTTTCTCCTTGACCTCTTGACTGCTTTCTGATCTTCTGAGCTCTGCTGAGCTACAGTCTCTTCTACCACTGTTCCTTTCTTGCTAGGAATGGTTTTGGCTGGATGGTAACTTGGCACAGCAGTTTAAGACTCCTGTTATTACTCTTCTTCCCTCCGACCACCACAGGAAAAAAAAAAAAAAAAGTTATTTTATGTAAGGTTATTTTGCTAATGAAGGTTGGTAAAGCTTTGATGGGGCTGGCCAAGCACAATTGGTAAGATGCCTTGCCGTCAGTTCAGGGATACAAGTATGAGTGGTTGTTTGGCCTGGTGATGAGACTTCTCCCTTTTCTCCTCTCCACCCTCATCAAGCTGAGAGCAGGAACATAAGAAGCCAAAGATGTCATGACACTTGTTTTTTGACATGGGGCAATGACCTGCCATTACACCGCTGTCTTAATTGCTTGTTAGTTACAGGCATTCTGCCTTTGTACTGTTTGCCTTTGGATTAAATCTTGCCCCTTTTTTTGAGCATCCCCTGTAGAAAAGCCCTTAGGTGACTTTTGCTAATAACCTTATTTCTGTGCACCTCAAAGGCCAGAAGCTGAAACTGTAGATCAGTTTCTACTTGAACTTAAATCAGATAAGGTAAGTTATAATTTAACACTTTTCTGGGGGAGAGATTAGTCTTGCATGGTCTAGTAGTTGTCCCTGACCTTGCTTATTGAAATAAAATGACCCTAAGAAAAGCTGATAGAAACAGAAGCATTTTACTCACATAATATTTATTATTAAACATTTATTTTACTTCATGGTAAGAATAGAAACTATTACTTGATCTTCTGTTTTTAAATACAAGAAAAGAAACAGTCTTACCTGCTTCTATTAGTGAGGGACAATATTATCTATTATTAAAGAAGCCAAGAAAACTTTAGTAATGTTGTAAAAAAACGTAGTGGACCACATCCAGACATAAAGTTTAGACACATGTAATCCAATCCAATATGATCCAATTAACTATGGCAGCCTGTCAGCTGAAGTTACTATAGGGGACTGGATGTATGCCTCAATTGCTCATTTAATTGCTCAGTTAATGTATCACAGTTGATCAAGATCAGTAACTTAGGAATACAGTATTTACTGGTACTCTTTATAACAAATGTACATGTGCAAAATAGTGCATTTTTGTATTGAAAAAATCCATTGATTCTTCCTACATTATCTATTTTATAAAAATTTCATATATATCAGATTTTATGACTCAGTTATCAATGTGGTCACGTGAATTAGTATTGACCTATATATTGAATCAGTGAATATTTTGATAAAGCTGTAGGTGCTTTAAATTATAAACAGTAAAGACCGGCATGTGCCTTTCCCATCTGGGGCTAAGTGTTAGCAAGAATTTCATCAAGTGGTAGTACAACCAAGTTGAATTTGTCTGCTTTACCTTAAGAACATAAGACCAGTATTTGTCTCCCTGCTTCCTCCTGACACGCTGAACAAGGTGCTTGTTGAGGTGCCCTCTGAGAGACACATATTTTCTGTCTGCCAAAGTCAGAGGATCTTTGGGGCAAAGGGTGCCAGGGAAGAGAAACTGGAGCACAGGCAGATGTCACAGTGCTGCAGTGCAATACTAACCATCATTTCCTAGGAATACTTTGGCTGGAGATAAAACACTTCATCACTGTGACAGTCACTGACAACCAAGGTGTTAGGGCTGCTGGAAATCAGTCGTGACAGACCCTGTGGCCACTTGCCCCTGTCCTGACACTGCCAGTCACGCTGCATGGGCAGAGCACTGGCTAGGTGGCTGCTCCCTGCAGATGTGTTTTAGTGCTTCCAGACTAGCCATCTGCCTCAGTCTCCATCAGTTCGTTGTGTGTTTTGACGGTAAGTGCAGGATGGGCTGGCACACTTCCCCTTCTGTAAGGTGCTCTCTCTGCTGACCAGGAATTGCTCCTTTTAATTACAGGGGCACTGAGAATAGGAACTCCATGCTGTGAAGGATTTGGGTATTTCAGAGGTTGGCATAATTTCAAACAGGAATGAGAAAATTATTGACTATTCTTTAAGCATGTCTTTTCCACAGCTGACAGGCTTATTGTATGGTGGGTGACATAGCTGAGGCCGCATTCCCTGAGTCTGCTTGTGGAGAAGATTGTCTGATACCACAACAGCCTCAATAAACTGAACATCCACTTCTCCTACCTCCCTTCACCCAAAAAGCTGAGCTATTCTGAAACACCAAGTTACTCACTTGGAAAGAAACTAGCCTGGTTTAACACTCTTTATTTTGATAAATACAGCCTGGCTGTTTCTTATCATCTTTATGTCTCTGGATGCCTAGCCGCAGATTGTTTCACGTTTTGTTACAGGTATTAAACTCGAGCTGACTAGCCTACAATTTTCCAGCTCCTCCTTTTCCCTTTCTGTAGCACAGCACTATAGTTGTCCTTGTCACTTCTCTTTGTGTCTTAAAGTAGTTCAGTTTGTTTCAATTACTCCTAAATCTTCTAAGGTGAATTTCAGCAGGCTCCCCTGCCGTGCACGTCTCATCTAAGTATTTACTATCTGTTCTCTCCTAATTCTAGCACTGCTCCAAACCACTTAAATTTGCTAAGAATATGGTTACAGCTGCTCTTTTTTTTTTTTTTTTTTTTTTTTTTTTTTTTTTAATGAAGGCTCAGGCAGTGAACATTCTACTTTTTTTTTTTTATATATTCTTTCTACCATTTTTCATCGTTCCTGCTTAAGACCAAAGCAATACTCTCTTTTATCCCAAATATATTTCTGAAAGCTTTTCTTACTGTCTTTTATGTCCTTTGCCGGTTGCAGCTCATTTTATGTCTCAGATTTTCTGATGTTATCTGTAAACCACTTTAACTTATGTTCAGTCAGTGTCCATGTTTCCATTTTTAAACTATTCATTTTTGATTTTTAGGTCATTAGCAAGCTCTTGATGTTCTTGATATTGATCATTTGCAATACTTATCTTTCCTCTGCAGAGGGATAACCTGCTATTGTTTCAAAATACACCACCACAGTATTCTACTCCAAAAATGTCAAAAGGATGTTTCAACAGCCTCAACTTTTTTCCATTTTTATTCCCTTAAAAATAAATAAAGCATAGAAAAACAATCCCATTTCAGAAGAACGTTGATTTTGACAGACTAAAATATGATTTCATGTAACTTTTTTCAGCAAACTACTTTAATAATAGTATTTCAGAAGTGGACAACAACCACAGGAACAGGAGAAAAGAGAAAATAAAACTGGTCTGACTGTATCTAACATGGCAAGAACATCAGATAATACTCTATTACGGCAATGCTTTTACAGACTTACTGGCAGTAGAGGTCTGGCAAAGAAAGCCCTTCTTGCCTTCTGCAGGATAAAAGTGCATGTGGAAGATCTGTATCAAGGAACGAGCATTCTGCCCTACGGCCATTTCCATGGGCAATGCAGACCACTAGGGCTGTGGAACCAGATGGCAGAACTGTAAAAACCTTTTCTATATGCCCTAGTTATCTCTGATAATCTGCCAGGTCCGTTTTATAGGAGAACTGCCTACCCTTTTCTGGGACAACTGTTTTTTGTTTGTTTGTTTCTAGCTAAGTGGTGAATTTTCTCAGGTGAAGAAAGTCCAACTAGGAACATATCAGTCAATGAAAACCATCAAAATAGTGAAAAACTTTTCTGGAAACAGGAAAGCTTAGACCCACTAGGTGCGTGGGAGCCCCACAGTCCAGCTGCCCCCAGCCCCAAGAGCAGAGCTGACTGCCCAGGTAGCTTAAGGAGATCCATCCTCCTGCAGACCACCTCCATCCCCACAGACACTTGTAATTAATAATTGCATCTTTCAAAGACTTAGAAAAGCTTCATGTTTTGCACATCTTTGTGAAAGCTCATTTAAATTCAAACCACTTTGTTAGTAGATATAGTGCTTGAGATGCACAGCTCTAAAGGCAGCCCTTTAAAGAACAACAAAAACTGCAACAATCACCTCTAATTTTAGGCGTCTTTTATTTGAGAGGGCTTTTGATTGTAATAGGGGTCTTTCACAGAGTCTTCCCACTCTCTGAGCAACTCCAGAAGTTTATTTCACACTGATTTCCCTAAGGATTTTCTTCTCTCTCCTCTGCCACTTCCAATTCTCTGTGATTGCTAGAGCAGATAAGCATCATTAGCAAACCAGCAGTGTTTGCCAGGCTGTCTTCATTCTCCTGCTCTGGCAAAGTTATGCTGTCGTCAACAGTCCTTAAGTCTCCTTAGACTTCACAGCAGACACTGAGGCACAGCATTCAGCTCTTCTAATTGAATGATGTGATACAGCTGGATCCAGCCCTCCTGGAAGAGCAGCCCCCGTGGCTCAGTCTGGTGGCTGGGGAGAGGTGAATGCCATGGCTCACTCTGCTGGCACTGCCACAGTTCTGGAGGTGACAGAAGAAAACAGTTACAAACGTGCACTTGTCCTGGGTGGGATGGTGTCAAGTGCCCAGGGCAGGAGTGAGCAGACCATGCCGTGCAGGCTCAGTTGGGTTAGTTTTCCTTATAGGCTGTACTCAGCCCATGAACCAAAGGCTCAGCTCTTCTGATGTAATTGGAATTATAGAGTATCAGACACAACTAAGGTTATAGCTGTATGGAGAGTCATCAAGTCAGACTGAGGATATTGGTTTATGCAGATAGCCCAGACTGTCATCAGTCATGGAGTCAGTTGTTTGATTAAAAAAAAATAAATACTTCCAAACTGTGCAACACACCTCACAAGGAAATATTATGTTGTTAGCATTTGTTAGAATGAACCTTCCTTAACAAGTGAAAGTTCTTGTACAGCTGAGGTGTGAGCCGCAACTCCGCTAATTTTATACAATGGAGTTTATACAATGTGGCTTGTACCTCTGAAAACACAAAATTAGGAGGGAAAAGACCTTCTCAGCTAGCTTGTTGAGGAGGTCAGTACATAGCAAACTTCTTGCAATTAGAAGGCATCCCAGGACTCACCTTATGATAGATCTTGTCACTTCTGAAGGCATTTTTTTATTCAGACACTCAGCTTTGCCTTGTGCTTTGCAAATGCACTTGAGGCAGGCTGACACTCGACACAGCACATGGTCTGGTGTGTCTTAGCCCTGAATTTCAAACCAGCTGTGACTTAGCTCACAGCTCAAAGCAGCTGAGAATATCAGACTGTTTTATATTTTAGGCCAGATGGGACACAGATGAGTTTCTTAAAAGAGCTGGCATCTCAATTGAAATAATTCTTGCTGCTAATCAAAAAAAAGCTTGAATGATCAAGTTAAAAAATAAATACAGCAAGAAATCTGAATTCTCTCGCATTTATCTGACTGGAATATTTGCTTTTCTGAGCTACCTCTAATCGCTTCTTTTTTTCTCACACTGCACTCCAACCCTACCGTGTGTTAAAATATTTGTCTTGTGCAGAAGATATAAAAGTTATTATACTGTAAGGGGCTAAGACAAATGCTAAGGCTTCATGCTGAAACATTCTGTCTGCTTGCCAGGATTACACATTGTGAAAGCAAAGCCAAATTGGGGGTTCATGTGCAAGAAGTTTGCGAATAAAAAGTAAGGCACCAAGGGAAAGAAAAAGGATGTCGACATGAACTTTGAAAATAGCACATCAGTGGAAACAATCACTGTGCCTAAACTTTGTCTTAGCTCATTGTCTAGAACTTATGCTGAAGGTGGTCAGAGTCATCTGGTTCTGCTGGTAATGCTCAGCCTTGGTTTCAGTAACAGAAGATCTCACCACTCTTGAGCAATCTTTGCTTTTGTAGGTTGCTGACTTTGCTTGTATTTATGCTCGTTCATTTTTGAGGAGAGTTTAGCTATGGCAGCAAATACTGTTTAGTGAAATGCTGTCAAATTGTTAGCATGCCTCTGTCAAAAACTGCCTTGTGCTGACACTGAAATGCTCTTGCCAAGCTCCAAACAGCCTCCACTCCCTGGTGGCTCAGCAGTTTCAGCTATTTGTGATGGCACTGTGATTTCCCTAGGTTGGCAAAGTGAACACAAGGGCCTTGGATATGGTTTGATTAAATGCAATGGGCAGAATATGCCACCTAATAATACTTCTAATAAAAACATTGGAGTATCAGTGTCTACTGGCCATTGAAAATCAGCTGTAAGAAACATGAGCAATGTGGGTTCTGTCTCTGCCTTACTGGAGCCCATTAGGTCTCCATAAATCTATATTGCTCATCACAGCTGTAGCTCTTCAGGATAATGTCCCCCATGCTGTGCCCCCCTGTATGCAATGAAACCATGAACTATTAACCATTCATTTTGTGAGTGTAATGTACTACTTTGTATCTCAGAAACTTCAAAATCTGCTTCCACTTAAAAAGGTACACATAATGAATTGTAAATTTGCTGCTGTTCCTGCTGCACAGCTTGGTGACAGATTCCCTTTCCACCTGTGCTAAGAGAAGGTAACAAGAAATAGTTACTGACCTCCAAAATAACCTTCATGATTTGTATGCCTACCCTATCCCCCCTTTCATCACTAAATTTCCCAGGCAGAGAAAATAAAAAAAACTTGAAATGTATTTTGTTACTTGAAAAGAACTGGACCTCTTCTAAGGGTTGTCTGACTTGGTTGCTTCTCCCTCAGTTCAGAATGTCTAGAGCTGATGTTTTATTTTGTAGCTGTTATTAGCTGATGTGCTTTGATCATGTTGGAAGGCACTGTGAGATTTTTCACCACAGAGCACGTCTTCAAGTTTTTGTTTCTTTTTAATGTATAACAGAAGCTGATAAGAATGCTAGTTGAAAGGGAGGAAAATGATGAGTGCAGTACAAAAATTTGTTCTTCAGGTTCTCTTTGCAGCACAAGCAGCAATAACTTTGGCAGATATTTAAAGAGACATGAAATAGTAATATGGAAAGGTTTCTTTCCTTAAGTTCTTTTTGACACAAAAGAAAAGGAAAAAAAACAAACAAAAAACCACACTTGTTTATAGCTTAGAAATTTGTGGGTTTTTTTTGTCTGTGTGTGTTTTTTTTTTTTTCTGCTATGCTTTTTCTGTTTTTTAATCAAAAGTATCAAGGAAATAAATCTGAAAAACTGAAAGAGGAGGACTTACTTGCCCTGTTTAAAAAAAAAAAAAAAAAAGTAGCTGAGAAATAGAGGTCTAATGTCCTCATTATTAAAGGCCAAATGTTCCTTCGTATGAAGGGAGTGCTGAAAAAACTTCCCCCAGTGGGGACAGATAGTACTTGTCATTTTGATATGTTCAAGGTGGTAATAATATCTAATACCTCATTTTTGTGGTGGGAAAATATTATTCCATGATATTCTGTCCTTCATGCTTAACTTACATATTTGAAAAAAGAATCAAATATTATTTATTTTTTTTCCTCTTTGTAAATCAATATAAAGAGTTTGCAGTATCCTTATCAAAATAACAAGTGTTTACCTGGCTTTTCCAACTTTCTTTCAGCAGGCTTGAAGTGGACTAGGCCTGGGTTCCTGTTAGCTATCCTTAAGCAAATAGGGGCTGTTGAGAGCTAATCGCCCAGAGCAGGCTATTAAACTGGCTGTTGCCTTCCATCTTTCTGGGAATAACTTGCTAGATAGGTGAAGCTACACCTGAATTTATACAGTGCTCCAGAATCCTTTGGGAATGTAAAGTTCTCAAACACTATCAATATTTTTGCAACTTACTGAAGTCGTAGAATCATTCAGGTTGGAAAAGACCTTCAGCCGCTCAGTCAGTGAAAGCACTACACAGCCTTCCAAATAGCCTGCACAATGTGCTGGCCCATCAAGCTTAGGGAAAGCTGGTACTTTCAGTATTGCCAGCAAATGCCATCCGTGCAGTACTTCCTAACTGGGAAAGAGAGTGTTAAGTTGCTCCCCAGCTCTACAGGCTGTTGTAAATACAGTTTCTGACCTGCTGTGTCTCTGAATGGGGAAGTCTTAGCAATGCCAATAAAGGTTTAAGTATATGAGCCTAAGAAAAAGTATTAAGCCTCATAGGGGATCTTATGTATCTCTAAAATAAACAAAAGTAGCCTACAACATTTTCTGAGGACATATCTTTAACCTAAGGTCTTATCTATATTAATATTCCTCAGGAGCTGAAGCTATATTCCTGCAGACTTTGTGCAGCCTGTTAGGGAGGCTTAGCCTGTGCAAGCAGCTAGGCTGTAGTGAACTACTGGCCATCAAAAAGATTTAAGTTGCTTTAAATAGACTTGTAGGAATCTGAAATACTTTAATCGCCTAGCTTGCAGCAAAGCATTTGCGGTGTCTGGATTTATTTATATTCTCCTCACATCCTCTGGAGCAAGAGATAATGGCTGATAACATTTCCTTCTACCCCACTAACTTTCCATAATTACTGTGCAAAGGTTTCTGCACGTCCCCAGACTTAAGGCACGGTGACAGGGCTGCCTGTGCAGAACAGAGGATCTATTTGCTAGATTAAATAGGAAGTGAAGAGTCGGGATTAGATACATATTTTATTAATAAATAATATGTGGAAAACAATTGTTGTGGTGAAAAAGTATGTGGTTGACCAAATTTTAAAGTCATGAAATTTTAAATTATCCACTAGCTACAGAGCACTAGGTCTATCCTGGCCTTGGACAAGGGTAATGGTGAGATGGAAAGCTCCTTGCCACGAGGAAGGAAGCAATCAGTATGATAGACATTACATAATAACTACGTATTTAGTAGTTGTCTCCTTAAATCTCATTTTGGCTACTACGGTGAACTTTTTGACATCCCCATTCAGTTGCTTTCATCATTGTTATGATTTTAACTTAAACTGCATGTTTGCCTAATACAGGAGCTGTTTGGATAAAGCTCTCAATGACCCAGATTCAGGCTTCTGAATCCTCAATCCTCAGTTAAACACAAACTGCCCCATGCTGCTGGTTTTAGCAACAGATAGACATGGATGAGCAGTTCTTGCTGAGGCCCTGAGGATGCTGTCAGCCCTTACAGGCCCCAAACCACCCCCTTGGGGCCTCCTTCATCCTGCCCAGGCTCCCAGGTCACAGTGGGGCTGTAAACCCCTTCCCCAGCGAGGCTGCATTAGGGCTGGGCTCCATCTCCCCACAGCCCAGCACAGCCCTGCCATGGGCCCTGCCAAGCCAGGCCCACCCGCAGGCCCACATCCAGTAATGAAATGTGAAACACAACCTGTTGTTTGTTTGTTTTACCAGCAAGGGCAATGGAAAGCTTATTTGGGAATGATCATTCATGTCTTATATGCAGACAGACCTCTGTGTAGGACAAAACACAACAAAACTTTACAGATACCTTAAAGGAGGCTGTAGTGAGGTGGGGGTTGGTCTATTCTCCCACGTGCCTGGTGACAGGACGAGGGGGAATGGGCTAAAGTTGCGCCAGGGGAGTTTTAGGTTAGATGTTAGGAAGAGCTTCTTTACCGAAAGGGTTGTTAGACACTGGAACAGGCTGCCCAGGGAAGTGGTGGAGTCACCATCCCTGGAAGTCTTTAAAAGACTTTTAGATGTAGAGCTTAGGGATATGGTTTAGTGGGGACTGTTAGCGTTAGGTCAGAGGTTGGACTTGATGATCTTGAGGTCTCTTCCAACCTAGAAATTCTGTGATTCTGTGAAAACAAAAAACAGCTTGTCCTTTAGGGCTGAGACCAGTCTTAGCTCGCATTTCTGCATAAAATAAATGAATGGCTCATGTCAGGTTCTCACTCTGAGTTCATCCACATGGTGACACCCACAGCCCAGCTGGCTCCTCCACATAGTTTTCACTCTAGCACTCTTTAATTTATACTAAGTTTTCCCTTAATTTATGCCATCTGTGAAAGTCTGAGCTTTTAATGACCAAGGACACCCTTCAGTGAGACACAACGGGCTGTTGCTGACAGCCAGGAAACAGCTGGAGTTATTGCCTATCCTGATCTTCGGCTGGCCATTTGGGAGGCCATCCATGCCTGCTAGATAGCTGACAAGTTGATAGATGAGAGCTGATTTTGCTGCCCGGAAATTTTCTGATGAGACTTTTCTGCTTCTCTGAAGTTAGAAAGCCATGCATGTGATGTTAGACCCTGCTAGCTCAGCTCTTGCTGGGCATGTTGAGTCTCTGGTGAATCTGCATTCCCAATATCTGAGTCCTGGTTTTGAGCACCCCAAAATTTTGT